GTGTTTTATGTGCTGCAGAACAGGAACCTGCTGTAAAACAGCAATTATGCTGAGTCAGGCTTGATTTTTTAACAATCTTTTCCTGTTGAATCAATAAATCAAATCAAATRATATGGAAYGTTCCTTAAGACGTACAATAGGAACCGAGGCAGGCAGTAAAGAGCTGTTTATAGTTTTATTATTTGTCTTCATTTTTTAGCCTTGTAATGTCTTTAGAAGTGCTCCTGCTTCACCTTGTCACAGAAATCAGGCAGTACACACACAGTACAGCAGGTCGGGAGGAAAAAGGGGTGAAGTTTTGGCTTGACAAAACACAGTTCCGCCCATGTGATGTGATGATGTCATCACGTACACTGTACTCGATGAAATATTTCCCTACGCGATAATGTAACTCATTCAAAATCAAACGGCTCTATGAAACAAACAGCTTCTTAACATCCAGATCCCTTCAAAGAGTTATTTATGCCATCTCTAATCTCAGGACAGTTGTCAGTTTCAAGGAAAACCATGTTTTTTAAATGTGATACTGTCAAAACTAATACTTGTTTGTTCCGTTTGTTTAAATTGTATTTGGTAAGATGTCAGGCTGTGTTTCCATCAAGGTTTTTTAATGCACATTTTGAAGTATCACATCAGAAAAGGTGAATGGAAACGGCTTGATTTGAAAAAAACTTCCTCTAATTCGCATCAAAGTTGATATGCTTACTTGAGGTGGTTTTTGGGTTTTTCGAAAAAAAGTGTTAATGTGCAAAAGGAGAGATGGAAACACATTTGTGAAATAAGTTCTGACGTAGTGAACATTTACCTCACATGTTGATCAGCTGTTCTCGTTGTTTGTCCGAAACCAGTACCAGTACCAGAGCAACTGCAGCTGGACCCTCCTCCTGCTGTCAGTGGCTACGTTCACACTGTGGGCAAATCCGACCCAAATCCGATTTTTTAATGACAGTCTGAATGCGACAAATCAGATTTTTTCAAATCCGACCCAGGCCGTTACAGTATGTCAGGGGCTACGTTCACACTGCAGGTCTTAATGCTCAGTTCCGATTTTTAGAAAAAATCCGATCTTTTTGTGTGAACG